AAATCTAAAAATTAATAAAGCAAATTAAAAGTGAATAAATTTTAAAAATATAATAAAAATTAATTATGGAAGATATAAACTAAAACCACTGAAAAAAGGGAGTAAACTAACAGTAACAATTATATAGGCCCGAGGATAAAAGACAGGCAAGTATTGAACAGTACTCTTTGCGATTAGAAATATTTCTCTTTATTTTGGCGTCTAGTTTATTTAAAACATACATATATATATATATATTGCAGAGTTTCCCTTAATCCCCCATCTTTCCCTGCAAAAAAAAAATTGTCAAAATTTTTCTATTATGCATAATTTAAATAATGAGAAGCATTAATCACATTAATTCTTAAAAGGCATACAGAGGTGTTTACACATTTTTAGAACGATTTCGATAAAGAGTTTTAAAAAAGCAAATGTTTTGAAACAAAATTTCTGGCAACAGCGTATTATCTGAAATGAGAAATTTATCCCTCTTTCAAAATGTCACATGTAAACAAGCTGTGGATTGAAGGATCTGATTTTGCGCTTTCCGAAGAGAAATATTCCTACTTCATAATTCAAAAACGTTGTGAAATGCATAATATTAAAATTTCCATGTGAAAAATAAGCGTCTTTATTAATCGTAGAGATAAAAGCTGCTAATCATTATTTCAAAATGGGAAGAAGATTCTAAACGGATGCCCGAAAAAGGTAGCTGTTGTTTCTAATATTTTCAAAGTTATGGTTGGTAACAAAAGAAAATCCGTCGACTCAGATATTAATTGCCAAGGCTTTAAATATATTTGTACCAACAATAAATAAAATAATAAAGATTTACAATTTAAAAAAGCTAAAAACATAATGTTCGCTATCCTTTGCTGAGGCATATGGCTCAAAGCAGAACAATTAGTAGAACCCTATATGAAAATCGTTTAGCAAATAAATGGAGATACGTTTTGATCCTCCATGAAGCATGGGTTAACTGCAACAAGAAAGGTCTATTTATTAACAAAAACGAAGAGAAAACGAAATGTGTACAAACTTGGTTTTCAATGGGAAAAAAAAAAAAAAAAAAAAAAGTTTCAGTAAGGTGTTATTGTCGCAAAATACTCTTATAACGGAAAATTAATATTGAAAAGAATTTTAAAAAAAATGTTAAAATCAACTCAAGGTACTGTCAAGAGAACTTTGATGTCCGTTATTTGCAGACGAAATTCTATTTATTTATCCCAATGACTTTAAAAGTGAGAAATTCATCGAGTAAGTAATTAAGTCATGCTTTGAGAAGTACCACTGCATTACTCGGAAAAAGGAAGACTGATGCAGGTATTGCAAATATTCCTTTTCAAAATACTCTTGCAAAGTCTCCTGACCTTTCACTTATGACTATTATGCTTCTTCTCTCTTGGAAAAGAATTCATTGTAAACGCAAACCCGCCACGGACTATGGAAAGTAGTGGAAGAGGAATAGAAATCAGTACTCCCTGGAAATTTTACGAAAAGCCCTTGTGTCATGAAAATCACGATGTAGACCTTTTGTCCATTAAAAAAATGCTTTTAAATCGAACATTCAGAAAGTACTCTTTACAAAGTTATAGACAAAAACACAGCATGCCCACTAAAGCAGAGTTCCCACAGTTGATGGATTATTATTGATATAATTCATAATCATTCCTGATAGACTTCTAGCCTGGTCGAAATTGGATAAAACCATTTCACGTTAAAAATTACATTTAAGGTAAAATCTTTTCTTATATCTTTTAAGAGCGGGAAGGTCTCCACGAAGTGTTTAGCATCTCCAGTTTCATTGCAGCTGCCACAGAGGTCGGAGTTTTGAAAAACCAGTGTAAAATTAAACATATAATTAAAACAAAGCCCTCTTAGATAAAGGTAAACCAGTTGTAGTACTAAGTTAACGACTGACATGTTTTATTCACTAATTCTCGTGTTAGTGAATTGAGCAATTTGGCTGCATTTCAACGATGCAAATTCAAGTTGTCCTAATCACTTCATCACTGGAAGGAGACTTGTCTTCTTTTCGAAGACCTAAATAATAATAAGCATTTCACTTTACTTGTAGTTTATAGCTTTCTAAAGACGTTCATTCTCTTCAAAAAAATTAATAACTTAAATAAATTTGATTTTAAAATATTTGAAAAATGTGCAAGGTTTTTTTAGTCCAAAGGGGATTTGTCCCTGAAGAACTGTTAGTTTCGTTTTGCGATTTCGCGTTGGTTCACTATAAATGTCCATTTCACTTTTCAAACTGTTGCCACCAAATGTTAGAGTCTTGCATTATATTTGAAGAAATTAAGTAATAAAAATTATTCATATATATGCACGCATATTTCTCGCATTGTGATAAAACAACGGTACACAGAGCCATCGAAATTTGAATGACGGAAGCTTACTGAGAATATGGGCATGTGGAAGTCCAAATTTGAAATGTGGAATTTGTTTCATTATGGATTTCATGTTTTGTAAAGCTTTAACGAATTTTTGATTCAAAACTCAAGGATTTCAAAACGAGCGATGGCAACGTGGTACAGAAAATTTTTTTTTTACCTCCAGCGCGTGAGTCTCTGTATCGGAAATTCTAAAGATATGCTCATTTTAAAACTATTTTGCGATATTGGTGTTGAACTGAATTTTATAGTTTAAGTGCGAAGAACGTGATATTTAATAAGTAAATGTAGCACAAGAATGTTAAAAAAACGCCCCTTTGGACGTCATTCAAAACCTGAAATCTTTCAGATTTTTTTATTTATTATTATTATTGTTATTATTTTTAAATTTCGGTTGCCTAAATATTAAAACTAATGACCGTAAATTAGGATGGTAGTTTTATCGCAAAGAAAAAAGATAAGATGTACGCGGCAATAGCAGAGTAAATTGTGATATTTCCGCTGCCAATAATTTATGCTAAAAATTTCAAAAACTTATTCTGTATACGAAGTTATAATACAAATATCTAACGTATATGCATTAAATAATTTTAAACTGTTATTCATAAATTACTTAACTATTTGTAATATATTAAATTCAATGCACTGCGTGTGATCAAACTTTTCCTTTGAGAATACGCCGGTTTAATATACGCTTGAATTTTCTGCTTTAGTGCATAATCTCTCGTCCGTTAACGCGTTGTAGATTCATTAGGATTATTAAGGAGTAGGACGCACAAATTACATTTAGAAGGCATGCAACAGATAGAAGAAAATGCTTTGAAACGTTCTTAAATTCTGAAAAGCTCGTTTGATAACAAAGTTTTCTGTCCCATATTAGCTGACGAATTGTGACTTTCAACTACAGAAGATCTTTACACAATTTTAGAACGATTTCAATAAAGAAATGAAGGAAGAAAATATTTTAAAATAAAAATTAATAGCAACAGCTAATTAATTGAAATGAGAGATATCATCTGCTACTTTTAAATTTATTCCTGTTTCGAAATGTTGCATGTAAACAAGCTGTGGATTGTAGGATATGTTTTCCGAAGAGAAAAATGCCTATTCCACAATTCAAAAAATGCTGTGAAATGCATGGCATTGAAATTTTTAAGTGCAAAAATCAAAAATATCATTCGTTATTATCATATTCAGCAACATTACTAATTGGAAAGGGAAGAAACCGCCAATCATTACTTCTACATAGAAAGAAGACTTCAAACGAATATCCGGGAAATGTAGATACATTTTTTAAAAATATTTCTAAAGTTTAACCCTTGGTAACAAAAGAAAATCAGCTAGTGCAGAAATCAATTGTAAAGTCTTTAAATAAATCTTTAGTAACTATAAATGAAATAATAAACCAAAATTTACCGCTTAAGAAAGTATTAAATATCATAAATTTCGTATTAAATATAATGTTCATCGGCTTTTGCGAATCACGTGACTTAATGCAGAATTAATATTTAGAATTCTGTATGAAATCTATTTAGCAGGAGATAAATGGAAATACATTGTGACTTTTGATGAAGCATGGGTTTACCTCAATGACTAAAATAAATAAATAAATAAATATAATTTAAAAAAAAATCTGATGTGTACACCACATGACTTCCTTGTACGGTATATTAAATTATACGCATTTTTTCTTGCATTTCATTTAAACTTATTCGATTGAATTAAATCTACTTCGTCGACAGCGCATAAACCACAATAGAATAAATGCACTCTTTAAAATTCACTTTGTTTACCATAGCGACACTCTGGCGCTAGGTTTACTTAACAGTATTATATTTCATTCATATTATAACTCAGAATGCACAAAATGTATATCATTTAAAGAATTATCTAATCGTTGCCACATGTCCTATTCAAATACTATAATAAATCTAAACCGATGTCTAAAAGAAATTAAGCAAACAAAACAAAAAAGAAACAGTTTTTCACAGACGATTGAATATTTCTCATTCAATTAATTCAGTTCTTACTTCGCGACAAGGTAAAAATACATAAAAACTCAAAATATCTGTATTAAAAATTACGAAGTAAATCTTAAACACTTATTTCCTCGAAAAAATTCCAGAAGGGATTAAGCACGATTTAATTGGCAATAATAAATTATATCTCTACAACCATCAAAACTATCAAATATTTCTTCCCCTTGATTTTTGAAATAAGTGTTTGCAAACTTTTCAATAAGCTCTTGTACATCAGAAAGATGTATATTTTGCATTACGAAAGAGAAACAGACAGCAGTGAAACCTGAAGCCAGCATATTCGTTTCTAGAATTTTCTGCATCTTACAAAATGTTTTACGTGAATTGTGTTACTTGTATTCAATTTAAATATACCTTAGACAAAAGATCATTTTGGTATGAGTCAGCCGCTCTATGTGTAGATTTAAATACAATTAAACGACGGATCTAGCTTGGAGGTGGTGAAGCATACAAACACTTAAATTTCATTAATATGTTTTAATTAACCTTTCTTTGTTTTAAATACTGTTTAATATGCAGAATAAGCTTTTCTGTATTAAATATCATCACCTTAATTATACATTTTCTTTTCACTTTTTAGGTATCTATTATACAATGGCCGTGATTGGACCGGCTGTAGGCTATCTGATTGGTGGTCAATTTCTGAAAATTTACGTGGACATAGGTGTGGATCCAACGGAGTAAGTATAAAATAAAAGTCAATGGAGAAACGTTACTAAATCTGTAATTTTAATTCAATCAATAACATTTATTAAAGGAAATTTCTGTACGTAGCAGCGCATTTTCCCCCTGTAGCATAAATTGTCTTTCATACATCTTAAAACCCATAAGATGTTCGAATAGGTGACTGTTGCAAGAATTGGGATAACTTATTTATTTTAAAAGCAATTACTACCAACTTTTTACAGCTGACTACATAATATAGCTGCTTTCTGAAATAGTAATCAGAAAGCTTGTGTTGCTACAAAACAGTTTTATAATTTAATCCGCTTTGTGACAAAATGTTTCGTCATGTTTCCAACTTACGCGCACAGTTTAAAACATTCGGTTTTATAATTTAATTCCATATTTAATATATAGCTTTTATAACATTTGGAAACTACTGTGAACCTAAAATTCTAAAAATTTCATGTTCAATTTTTATTTTATTTTGAGTTGAGTTTATAAAATGTATTTTATTAGCGAAATTTGTAATGTTTTCGTCCATAAAATTTTTCAATATTAAAATATTGATCAGATTATTGGTTCAGTTCGAAAATCATGCGCGCAAAGTGGAAACATGGCGAAATATTTTTTCACAAAGAGGATTTAATTACAAAAATATTTGTGGCAACACGAACTTTCTGGTTACTAGTTTCCAAAGCAGCTATATTATGTAGTCAGCTGTAAAGCGTTGGAAGTAATTGCTTTCAAAATAAATAAAATATTCCAATTCTTGCAACAGTCACATATTCGAAGATCATAAGGGGTTTAAGGTGTATGAGTCCCCTTAAGACAGTCCATAACACAACCAAAAGCTTCCTTAGCTTCTCGGCACAAAAAAAAAAGAAGAGAAGTTTCTTAATGATCACAAACATAAGCACAAGCGTCGACTCTTGACCTAGATCAGGAATAGTGTTTTGGAATTTAAGAACTCAGGCAACAGTAATGATGACCAGTGTCGATCCTGCTTCCAAGTGAATACTACACTGGTGTGCAAAAATTAAGGACGAAGTCGAAAAATTAGCATATCAGCTGAACGAAGAGGCAGAGCGGACCAATCAGAAAGACCAATCAGGAGATTAAGTAAGGTGATGTACGGTAGCACATGCGCAGATATGCAGGTAGACGTAATCTGTAGAGTTCGGAATTGCTCACAGCATCGTTTCACGACTTTGGAGACAATTTCAAACTACAGGAACAGCTATCCGGGGGTTTAGTATTGGTCGTCCACGAGGAACCACACGCAGATTACCGGTATATTACCTTACAGGCCAGAAGAAACAGGCGGCAGACAGCGGGAGAAATCGCTAGACACACGACACAGGCGACTGGACGACCGATATCGCGTTTTACCGTAGCCAGAAGACTGCACGGTGGTGGTCTGTTTGCACGACGCCCTGTACGGTGTGTACCTCTAACGCCTGCCCATCGGAGAAGGCGTTCTCTGTGGTGCCGGGAACACCGGAATTGGAGAGACAATGAATGGGGACGAGTACTCTTTACAGATGAGAGCAGATTCAGTCTGAGTAGCGATTCTCATCGCATACTCATCTGGAGAGAGCGGGGAAGCCGCAATCATCCCTCGAACGTCATTGAAAGGGACAGGTATGGAGGTGGCGGTGTTCCCGTTTGGGGAGGCATCATGCTTGATAGTCGTACAGACCTTCACATCTTCGACGAAGGTTCAGACAACGGGACCCGTTATTGTAACGAGATTCTTCTGCCATATATGCGTCTTTTTAGAGGCGCTATGGGTCCGAAGTTCCTTTTCATGGACGACAATGCACCATGTCATCGCACAGTAGCTGCCGAACAGCTCTTAGTGAGGATATTGAACGTATGGATTGACCGGCACGATCTCCGGATCTCAATCCCATCGAGCATGTATGGGATTTTCTAGGCAGACGCTTGGCAGCTCGTACCTTACCACCAGTAACGATTCCGGAACTTCGATTGGCGCTGCAAGACGAATGGGCAGCAATGCCTCAACAACTGATTGACACCCTCATTCTCAGCATGGGCAGACGCTCTGAAACCTGCCTAGCAGTCAGGGGAGATCATATACCCCTGACTGACATCTAATGCGACACCAAGACTGAAGACTTTATTTGATATATATTTCTATATATATCATATAAAGAACGGATGTTTCTTGCTGGACACCCATCACAGGGATGTTCGGGCTTCAGTCGCATTGCGCTCCATGCTACTTTTTCAATAAAGCTTCTTTTTATCCCTCTGATTTCTCTTTTAGTAAGTGTTGCTTACATTACTCATGTCCTTACGTATTGGGGATCTTACGGTATTAAATGTGTTGATTTGGAAATATTTTGTACAAAGTTATATTGAAAAAACCGTCTCGTCCTTAATTTTTGCACACCAGTGTACGTAAATGAAACGACAAAACCTGTACCTCAGTATCGAGTATCATATTACTGATTCCACAGCAATGCGATTCCTGGTCATTGCACCTGAATTTAAAAGAATATTATTCTCTATTTTAGCACCGAGCGTCGGAATGCCAAAGAAGAACTGCACGATTTTTCAGGAGTCAGAATGAAATGACTCTGATTTAATTTCTTCAGTCTTGGTGTCGCATTAGATGTCAGTTTCTTTAGATCTCCGAAATGATTAAACTGTCAGCATTGTTTATTCATTTACCTTTCCTTTCATGTTTGCTTTAAATAATTTAGTTTCTGCATATGAAAAGATCCATGTTTTTCAACAAGCAGACAAAAAAAAAATAATGTTTCAATTCACATTTCTAGGTTTTCTAATCAGTACATTTTCAGCAGCATTTCGAAAATGGTAATTCTCTTCTTCCAAATCTTTATCCTCTCTTTCTAAATCTTTAAGTAAATCTTCAATTTTGGTTGTTTAAATGTCCTCACATTTTGAAAAATTAGAATCCGCAAGTCCAGTTCCCAAGCATTTGTGTTCATTTTGAAAATTTCTCCCGGATATTAGTTTAATCTTTGGAAATTAAGACTTGCCCCCCCCACCACCACCACCAAATAAGGATGTATTGGTAACTCTAACTTTTCTTTCATAAATCGCAATTTCTTACAGAATCCTAGGCATTCTTGGACTTGTCTGTCATTTTTTCCTGTGCCAATCTGTTGTGTATACAGATACGTAAGGGTAAAAGACACGGCATTAGAAATAAATAATTAAAGGCTGAGTAATTTTTATTTGAATAATGGTATGTCTTGTTAGAAATAAACAAACACGTCGCCATTGTACGGTAGAACTAACAGAGGGAACGTTTCAACGAGGACGTGAACCTGAAATGGCTAATGTGGTTACAAAACTCACATTGTGTGGAAATATTATGATTTATTTTTTAAAAAAAAGGTACTCGTATTATATAAATTCCTTTTCTAGAGTATGACTTCCATTGATAGCGGGAACTCAACAACTCAACAACAAAATGGGTGACGTGAGCGCCAACGTTCTAAACTTCCTAAGTATATAGATCCCTGAGTAGGGTGGCATTTCGAAACCTTATGTAAACAGTGTTCTTCGTGTTGGTTTATAGGTCAAGACTTCAAAATTTAATCAAAATCGGAATAAAATTGTAGATTTTTATGAATTACACACATACAAACGGACACACTTCTTTATATTGGGCCATATAAAAAGTCTCTGGTTTTTGGTACATTTTTTAACAAAATTTTCTTTATTGAAAGTCAATTTTCCTCAACTACATATTGACCATTATTATGTATGGCCTTGTGTCATTTTAGGGTAGGTTCATAATTCTATCGATGTAGAAGTTCTTTGATTTGTCCTCGAAAAACTTGGCCGAGTGATTTTCAGCGGTGCTCGGTCGGCCTGTTTTTTTATCATAAAGAGAGTTTTGCAGAGATCGAAACAAATGGTAGTCACACGGTGCAAGATCCGGGCTATACGGTAAATGCATCAATTTGTTCTGAGTCATCAAAAGATGTATGTGGCCGCGCATTGTCATGATGGAACACAACTCCCTTTCTGTTGGCCAATTCTGGTCGCTTCGTTCAAACGATCGAGTTGTGCACAATACAGGGCCCAATTGATGGTTTCGCCAAGTTGTAGCAGCTCATAATATACAATTCCTCATGTGGCACCCAAACATCGAGCTTATTTTTGTAGCCTGCTCTTTTCAAATGATTCCAAATTGTCATGTGGTTGATGTTTAGTGCCTCATCTATTTCCTGACAGCTTGCGTGCCGGTCTTGTTCCGCCAGTTGCAAAATTTCATGGACTTTTTTAGTGACTGGCCGACTAGAGCGAAGTGCATCTTTGACATTGAAATTTCCGGAACGGAATCGAGCAAAGCATTCCTGGGTCCTACCTTTCAGTCATAGCATTCTCACCGTATACTTCACATATTTTTCAGTATGTTTTTGCAGCGTTTTTACCTTTTATAGTAAAAAAGCATCACACAGCGTATTTCTTCAGATAATTCACTCATTTTCAAATCAGTATAACTTTTTACACGAGTAACGAATTAGAAAATTATCTTCACAAACAATGGAAACTGAATGTTTCCTTTTAAGCACATGTTCGTTTGTGACAATCGGGTGAGTGTTGCCGGATATATAGGCATAAACACCATCTAGTGGCAAAAAACAGCGGAGACTTTTTATATATACAGATTATTTTAATGAATCCACAACTAGTCTAATTTCACAGATCTAGATAGTAATTAATAATAAATATCATGCAATAATAATGCCAATCATTCAATAATAATGTAATTAATGATAATGCCATTAATAATAACTGTCAATTGAAATGAAACTGCACTTATTGCTTTTAAATCGTTTAGTTTATTGATTAATAATAACAGAATAAATTAAAAGAAAAATCAAATATCTTACACCTTGCTGAACGACAAAACACTGTCGCATGAAAGATAAAAATGTTTTAATCCGGTCAGTGGCAAGTCATATCTTTTAAATTGCTTAGTTCGTTTATTAAATTCAAATGACAAATATACATGTTTGTTATAAAAGCAGATCTAATGTTGATTAAGTAACAAACATGAAACGTGTACTTATCCGCCCTGTGGCTTTCTGTGCAATATTTGCGACAACTAAACCGTATTGTTAAAGGTACAATATATAAACAATGTATAAACTCTCACTGCGTACATTTTTATAACAAAATAGATTAAAAAATTGCGTATTTTTTTATTAAATATTTCAAATCTACATATTTTAGAGTTAAAATATACAAAAATTTTTTGTAAAAGAGTTTTTTTTTTTTTTTTTTTTTTTTTTTTTTTCCAATATAGAGTTAGATCATAGAAAAAGGTTGTCAGAATACTGAAATTGAAGAATAATGATATAAAAGGAAAATTTTGAAAATTAATATTGCTTAAATTATGATTTATTTTATAAAATACAAAGGTAAAACATATATGCTAATGAAAATATTTGCATAATGTAATATTTTGCATATCAATTTTGCACTACCGTCGAACGTTTTCAATAGAAACTGAATTTTCAGATTTATCACTGTCTTCAGAGGAATCCGAGAAATTTTCATCACATTCGCTATAACTATCTTCAATAGACTTGAAATCAGAGTCAAAACTACTAGCCGTGTCGAAAATATCGTCAGGAATATAGGTTATATCACTCGCGAAACGCTTCGTGCCAGACATCTCTGAGCTCTGGAAAACGCGCGCAAAATGTTATATTACGCATTCTTGTATATTTGGCAGAAATGTGGACAACTAACGCCATCTGTTAGTCCACATCTGAATAAACAAGTAAACATCACAGAAAAGCCGAAAGGAAAACTTGAACGAGGAAAGAACGAGTTGCACAGATAAATATACTGCGAAAATTCATCCCCGTGGAAATCGCGGGTTGCGCAAATTTTGCTACTTTTACGTTGCCCGTGGAAATCACGGGTTGCGCAAATTTTGCTACTTTTACGTTGCCCGTGGAAATCGCGGGTTGCGCAAATTTTGCTACTTTTACTTTGCCCGTGGAAATCACGGGTTGCGCAAATTTTGCTACTTTTACGTTGCCCGTGGAAATCACGGGTTGCGCAAATTTTGCTACTTTTACGTCGCCCGTGGAAATCACGGGATGCGCAGCGAGAGGGTTAAGGTTAAGTCTTAAAGGTTAGTAAAGGATACAATACAAGTCGATTTAAATACCTTCTAATTTTAAATAAATGTATTTCTAACATATAAGGTTTTGAACGTGGTTAACATTAAATTTCTTTTCAGACTGGGCCTGACTTCTTCAAGTAGCGTCTGGGTAGGTGCATGGTGGATAGGCTTCATTTTCACAGCTATCCTCGGAGCTCTCGTAGCGATACCACTCACTGCTTTTCCCAAGACATTACCTGGTAAGTATTAAGTAAACTGTTTGCAGTGCCGTCGTAGCAGCATTATGGACCCTCGGGCAAACCAGAATGCTAGGGCCCCTACGACGAACGCGTGAAGAAATGAAATGTAAGTGAAATTTAAATGGATTAGCACAGGGCCCGATGCTAATATGAGACCGCTGGAAAAATGCCCAGCAGGCGCGTTCGTGAAGGCGGCGCTGGACTCTGGTTGCCCTTTCATTATTCATCAAATGCGCATGTGCAATCTAACCAACACTGGCCTATTTAATTTGTGATATTAACTTGTTGTTATCTTTTAGTACCTTCTAATGCTCAGATATAAAAAAAATCTGATGTGTACACCACATGACTTCCTTGTACGGAATATTAAATTATACGTATTTTTTTCTTGCATTTCATTTAAACTTATTGGATTGAATTAAATCTACTTCGCCGACAGCGCATAAACCCCAATAGAATAAATGCATTTTTTAAAAATTCACTCTATTTGTTTACCATAGCGACACTCTAGCGCTAGGTTTGCTTAACAGTATTATACTTCGTTCATATTATAACTCAGAATGCACAAAATTTATATCATTTAAATAATTATCTAATCGTTGCCACATGTTCTATTCAAGTACTATGATAAAGCTAGAACGATGTATAAAAGAAATTAAGCAAACAAAACAAAAAAGAAACAGTTTTCACAGACGATTGAGTATTTCTCATTCAATTAATTCAGTTCTCACTTCTCGAGAAATCAAAAATACAAAAAACTCAAATTATCTCTATTAAAAATCACGAAGTATATCTTAAACGCTTATTTCCTCGAAAAAATTCCAGAAAGGATTAAGCATGATTTAATTCGCAATAATAAATGAAGGCGTTATCTTTGTTGTTGTGAAGCTAAGTTCTTCTAGACTGGCAACAAATCCACTATCCTGCTGTTTCAAATGTAAACAAGCAATGGCCGCCATCAAAAAAATTTTATTAGGCTTAGCGGCACTTAAACAACTTTAAATTGTTGATAATTCTAAAAATATTGCCTACAGATTTACTAAAGGCATAAAACCCTTAACCGGAAGATAAGAACAACATAATTCAATCATTTTTAAAGCAAAAAATGTACAATTTACAAACATATAAGAGTAAAGAAACTGAGATCACTGAGCCGGGTGACAGAGTGGATATATATATAAATATATTTATATACGTTTTTTGCGGCCGATTGCAACCAAAATACGAGGTGCATATCTACATGTTATAGCAGTCCTATATACAAAATTTCAACGTTCTGAGGCTACTCGTTTTTGAGTTATGCGAGATACGTACGTACATACGTTCGTACAGACGCCACGAAAAATTCTCTTCAGAATTTATTTTAAAGCAGTTTTATAATTTTTTTGGAAGAAAAGAGTGTTTTATTCTGTCCCTTACGGACAGATATCACGCAAAAACATCGTTAAATTTCATTCGATAGCGGTCAAAATGGATATTTTGGTTGAAATATGCTGCCTGAAACTTTTCGCGATTACAATACTTCCTTTCTACTTCGTACAAGAAAGTAAAAAGGGCAGTAAAAACAAATGCAAATGATTATCAGAAACAAAACAGGCTAGTTTTGGTTAGATTGAGCATGCGCATTTGATAACAGCGCTGCTATGCTATTACTGCAAACAAGATAAGCTGCTATGTCATTCGGTTAATTTCTAATGTTTATATTATTCGAAAGGAAGATATAAAACTCTTTTATAATTAATAACATGATTCATTCACAAAATTTAAAATTAAATCTGCACCTATAAAATATAAAAGATTGGATTCGGCAACATCTTTATTAATTTATTATTACTTTTCGAATATTCAAAAGTGGACCTTTAGGCACTGCTTAAACTTCCTTGTCTCTAGTTATGCCATTGACTGTTTGCTAAGTAAACTGTTTATTTTCGAATAAAGCGTAACCGGACAGATTTAAAAATAGAAAATATATCGCAATTTTTGAAAGACAATGAACAATTTGTTGAACGCATAAACCAGTGATGGGCCAACTCCTGCCCGCCGGAAGGTCGCGGGTAGAATTTTAATTTGCCGGTCCGAAGCAAATTAAGAGAAATATATATCTGTATATTATATATCCAGCTACTTTTCTACTTCGTTTAAATATTTTTTTCTTCCTCTTTTTCAAAGGACTGATGATCTTTTTACTTTCTCTATTTATGTTCTACAAAACATAAATTGACGGAAAGAGCAAACACAGACAGCTTTCAATCGGGAAAGTGTTCAAGGCGGAAGTTCCTTGTTAGTTATAGCTGTAGATTGTCGCCAGCAAGCGTTATCTCTTTTTCGGGGAACAGACATATGGGAATCCAATATAGGTGAATAAGACCCCTTTAGAAAAAACTGAATCTTAACTAATTATCTTAACTTAATCTGTTTACTGGGCATCTAGCTAAGAACGACTCGTCTAATTTCCCGAGGTTAAATCCAATGCCTTCGTAAATAAAGAGAAGCTTAAGAATTATGAAGATGGCTTGAAAAAGCTGCATTTTGAGTTCAAACGAAGGTTTCAAGATTTCAGTGCCATTCAAACAGAAATGGATATTTTTACCATGCCTTTCAACGTAAATTATGAAGCAGTGAGGTCGCAATCTAACAATCGTCTCAAGCAGTTGTTTCTAAATATGCCAAAGTTAGAGTTTTACAAATCATTATCGAAAGTAAGTTTCCTAAATTTAATATCTCGTGCCCAGAAAATCAGTGCTATGTTTGCTTCATCTTATATATGTGAACAAGTGTTTTCAACTATAAACCTTAGAAAGAATTATTTCAGAAGTAGACTGACAGATGTGCATTTAGCCTCGTTCCTTACAATCAGTATGTTACCGTGAAAGACCGAAATTGGAGAATGTCGACTTTCACCGGAGAATGTCAACATTCACCAGATACGTCGGTGAAAGACCGAATATTTCACTACATTCTTGTATATTCGGAGCCTCACCGGTGTATGTCGACAATCACAGATATGCTCTGGTGAAAGTCGAAAAGAGAGGTCATAAAGAGCCTTAATAGTTTAAGTTGTTGCAATAAATAAGATTTGAATCACATAATTCAGTAAGTTTTTTATGACTGTTACTTTATTTTCTCATTTAGAACGTACTGAATAATTAAGTAAGTTTTTAACTTGTATTATTTTCCTTTCTCATTTTGAATGTATTGTGTATTTTAGGTTCTCAGGTTCTTAAGTTCTTATTTTAAGTCTCAAGTGCGTTTATTCGCGACTGAATTACGGAGAAGAAAATATAATATTGTTATATGTTCAACATTCACCATTAGTACATGGTGAATGTCGACACTGACCGGTGTAAGTCAGTAATAAGAGTATTTGGAAAATATTTCGGACATACACCAAAAGACTATGTGAATGTTGACATTCACCGGTGAAAGTCGACATTCTCGAGATTTCTGTCTTTCACCGTAACAAGTACATCTCACTTCGAACCCTAATATAAGGAACTTTTAAAAATGAAATCGCAGTTTCATTCATCTCATTAACATAGTTAAGTTGTAATACTTGTATATTGTTTTTAAATTTTAGAAAAATTTATCTTGGCCCACCAAACTTTTTTTTTTTTTTTCGATTTTGACCCGCGAGCAAAAAGGTTTGCCCATCCTTGGCATGAACTAACGGATAGAATCTGTCTCATTCATAAATTATTAAGGAAATTGGAAAATGAAACAAATATTTCATGCTAAAAATTATTTAGATACACCATGGCTGCCTACTCACTCAGCATACCTTGTCCATTCAAAATGTGAAGGGATCTCTTTCTATCTTCTTTTTTTTCTTTTCTCTTTCTTTTGTACTTTAAAACATTTTTTTTTTTTTTCTTTTTTTGTGTAAATCCTTTCAGTGAACTCAAGTCAAACACTGAATTTTGCGAATAGAACTCGAAACAGAATTTGCTTCTAATTTTGTAATTCTTGTCAATAAATGGTAATACCCAGCAAAGACCAGATAAATAAATCGTTTCGAATTTTATTACCGCAAAATCTGTCATTTTATACTCTGTGTTATTTTCTGTCAATAAGGTGGATATATAAACCCACTGTATGAAATCTAGCATGAAAAAAACATAGTTTTTCTCTAGAAAGGTCTGTCAGTGTTGAATTCCAGATTGGTTTGAGAAAAAAATAGATGTTTCTTTACCTTCAAAAAGTACTATGATATGTGTTAGAATTAGCTTCTAAATCCCTATAGTCTAGAAATATTCAGAAAAATTTATTAAATGTGAGATGTGAGGTTTTTGATCACAAGACACGAATTTTTTGCGCCGTTTTTGCAAACATTCCTAATTATTTTATATTCGCTAAGCAGCTTTTCATAATCCATATACCAGTTATGTAACTTTAACTGACACGCGTACAAATTTCACGTAAATTTAACTAACAATTTACATGAATTTTAAAGTTAACTTTTTAACACAGATATATTTAAATTAGTGTAATCATTTGAGGGGTTTTTTTTGGGGGGGGGTTGTCTGTAGCATTTACATTGAAACCGCTTTTTCAATGTTTTAACAAGATACCTAAATAGCTCTACTAAATTATTTACACTTTACCTAAGTTAAACATTGTTCATTACAAGCTTTTATTTAGTTCACTCAAGGTGGGTGAACTTCACCTGTAGGTGGAGTTTTGTCATCGATTTTTAACATACTTCCTGATAAGCTATCGACTTCAAATTTTGTACACACACTCTGTTGGTCGATGACAACTTCTGGTATCATATTTCAACGAATATATCCATTTTGGCCGCTCTTGAATCTATTTGAACGGTATTTTTTGCTTGACTTCTGTACGTACGGACAGAATAAAGTACTCTTTATCCCAACACGGATTATAAATGGATTTAAAATGAATTCAGAAGAAATTTTTTCGTGACATCTGTACGTACGTTCATATGTATGTATCTCGCATAACTCAAAAACGAGAATCCTCAGAATGTTCAAATTTTGTTCATGGGACTGCTATAACATGCAGTTGTGCACCACCCTTTCTGGTTGCAATCGGCCGCAATAATAGTATATATACATTATATACTCAATCTGTTACCCAGCTTGGTGAGCTCAGGTTTCTTATTCTAATATGCTGGTAAATTCTGCATTTTTTGCTTTAAAAGTCATTGAATTATGTTGTTCCGGTTAAGGGTGAAATACGTTCCCGTTAAAGTTTTTATGTCTTCATTTAATCTGCATACAGTAGTTGTAGAATTATCAACAATTCAAAGCTATTTAAATGCTACTAAGCCTAACGAAGCCGCCAGCTGTTTACATTTGAAAATCTTCAGTAGAATAGTGAATTAAATCAGTTTCTGCACCTTCAATGCCTTTTTGCCGAATGGAACCAAAAGTAAACTTTCAGTTTTGTGCACCGAAAAACCTGCCTTTTCGCCCGCTGGCGAATTGCTTGTTTTTGCGCAGAAAATGTAATTTTAATTGTAAAAAATGTTCTTTTAACTGTATTTGGTGCTTTATGGTTTTTCAGTATTTTACAATTTTTTAATGAAGATGTTTTGAGTTTTTATGTATTTTTGCCTTCCCGCGAAGAACTCAATTAATTGGTTAAGAAATATATCTGTAACGAAATTCGAGGAAATAAGTTGAAATGAAATGCAGCAAAAAATGACTATAATTTAAAGATTATAAGTCATGGTGTTCACATCATTTTTTTTTATTTAATGTTTAAAGGATTTTTAGTGTAATATCTTCGTTTAACAAGATAAGTATATCAGAATATTATTGTTTGCACAATCGAATAAAACAAAATAAAATGCATGAATTTTCAACGAAACTTGTATTGAAATTGTAACTTAAGTTCTGAATTTCTGTCGAACTTTTGAAAATCGCTTTTGACGTTTATGATTTTAAAATTTAACGTCTAAAAATTTAGAATTTTTTCCGAATTATAAAATAAACTTTCCGCAAACATACATTCCTTGGCAGGCAGGTACTAGGGTAGTAGTAAACTTGTAGAGTCATTAGGTTATTTTGAACCAGGAGGCATGAAAAATGAGTAATGTCCTTGCAGGGCCTCTAAACTGAACCTCTCCAATGCGCGCCAAGTGTGCTGCTAGTTACACCACGAAGGCATGCTGGAAGGAGGGAGAAAATACATTATTATCTAGGCACTTACATTTTATGCTAGTTTGTCCTTGAAAATGTTAATCTGAAATGTATACTAGAATGCAACATTATGTATGACTTCAAAATCTCCAGACGATCTATTACAAAACATTTTTTTCCTCTTTTTTTTTAGGAGCCCTTCGAATAAAAGCCGAGAAGAAAACAGAAATGCATCAGAAATTACAAAACAGCGAAGCGGTACAAACTGGATTTGGCACCAGTCTCCGAGATCTTCCATCTTCCTTAAGATTTTTGCTTACAAACCCTACATTTGTCTTCCTCAGTTTAGCCGGAGCAACAGAAGGTAAAAGGATTTATTTCGTTACACAGCGCAATTTCTATTCTGCATTCATTGAAATATGAGGTCACCTATGGCTACTAATCTTCAATTCCAATAAATGCATAGCATAGCAATAAAATACTTGCAATTTTCCCCCCTTTTGATTCTTTTGGTGATTATGGGCTAGATATGCAGTTATTTTATTATTATTATTATTATTTCTTGTATGTAATATAAACACGAACCTTGTTTTCCTTAAACAGCTCTCTGTAAAACATTTCTTCATATGTAGACAATTCTGAAGTTTGGGCCATAGTGTATCATGATGCATCAAGTAATATCATCCTGTGGTGTCAAAAGCTATTTAGAAGTTTGATTTTAAATGAGTAGATCGTGGTGCAAATCCTGCCTATTGTTCAGAATAAACAGCTAAATTTATTCTATACTAATTTATTAATTATCAGACTAGAATCCGTTTGGGTCTAGTTGGAATTAGAGCGAGTCAACTTGGCGAAGGAGATGAAGACCCAATACAACAACAGCGCTACTGGGACATCGATTCCACGAAGGAAACAAGTTGTGGTTGTAGAATCCGACTCCCCCCCCGGGGGTTGACTCAGGGGAATTCCTGGGAAGTACTGGTTAGGATCTGTACCTAGGCAGTCTCAACCACGGGGGCATACAAACAGTCTTCACAGGACTAGAACCCGAGTATTGTATTTAGGTTGGTTCAGGCTTGGCAGGGACTGTACTGGTACTGTCGTGTCTGTTCCTCTGGCTGTGGTGGAGCTATATGTAGACTTAAGTGGGTCTCTTCGATGGAGTTTGGTCCTCATAGTCCCAGTGACGGGGACTGACAGAGTAAGGTGAGGCACCCACACGAATGTATCTGCTGCTGAGGGAGTGGTGCGCCGAGGCAAAAGTGTCCTAGTGTATTTTCTTCGTATTAAGCTTCTTTTTTACCTCGCCGAGGCTATGTATAAAGCCGGGCAGGAACTGTGAGGTCTGCGCCGCCACTGATGAGTCCCTTCTAGAGCCCATTTGATCTAAACTTTGTACGGAAATTCCAGGTCGAAGGTTCGGTCTCTAGCGCACTGTGGAATCCGACTCGATTCTGTCCGAAACTACAGCCACCTTGGAATGGTCCGTACATGGTCCTAAACAGACTGAACGACGTCGTGGTTCGGATCCATAAGTCATTGAACCCTATAAAGTCGTTCATTACGACAGGTTATCTCCATACTATGGTCATAGTACATAGTGTATATAATTGTAAATAGTATAAGACCATGGTCCTTTTTGTTTCTAAATTTTTATTATTTTATTTTATTTATTTATTTATTTATTTTATTTTATTTATTTATTTACTTTTTGTATTTGGTATTTGATAGTATTTGATTTGTATTTAGTAATGGAGTATTGGAAAAGTATTCCGATGGGCTAATATGAAAACATATTTTTTATTCACTAACTTCCCTAAAATTCAATGTATTAAAACTGAACTTCATCTAGCTATGTAATAATGAGGAAGAAGTCCATAAATATTCAGAGCAGAGTGCATATTCATAAAAATATGAGGTGAATGTTTATGTTGCTATAGCGATATTGTATGCAGTACAGTATATTATACTTTGCATATCATATTTATTTCAAGTATATGATCCTCTTTTCTGATTTATATCCTTACTGTTTGCATTTAACAGGAATGCTGGTGTCAGGTCTGGCCACGTTCCTGCCTAAAGTAATTGAATCTCAATTTAGCATTGCAGCCAGTTGGGCAGCGGTGCTTGTAGGTGAGTTCTGATTCAGTTGTTTCTGATTACAAATTTCACAAAAGAGATTTTTAATGTAATCTTTCCTTTACAAATTTCACAAAAGAGATTTTTAATGTAATCTTTCCTTTACAAATTTCACAAAAGAGATTTTTAATGTAATCTTTCCTTTACAAATTTCACAAAAGAGATTTTTAATGTAATTTTTCCTTTACAAATTTCACAAAAGAGATTTTTAATGCAATTTTTCCTTTACAAATTTCACAAAAGAGATTTTTAATGTAGTCTTTCCTTTACAAATTTCACAAAAGAATTTTTAATGTAATCTTTCCTTTACAAATTTCACAAAAGAGATTTTTAATGTAATCTTTCCTTTACAAATTTCACAAAAAAGATTTTTAATGTAATTTTTCCTTTACAAATTTCACGAAAGAGATTTTTAATGTAATCTTTACTTTACAAATTTCACAAAAGAGATTTTTAATGTAATCTTTCCTTTACAAATTTCACAAAAGAAATTTTTAATGTAATCTTTCCTTAGACATTATAACACATAATTTCTCCTTTTTAAAATTGTGTTGGTTATATAATTTAATTTCTATGAAGGGTTATATTTTTAGCATATTCTTTTATACTGCTTTACTGTAATAAACAGAAGTGATTTTAAGTCATATGCAATCAAATGAAACTTATTATCGTCAAACGAAACGTTGCAAATTCTAATCATAAATACGAAAATATAAAAAATTAGATTTCATGTTGATAATGTATATATTTTATCAAATTTAAAACAATTACCAAAATAAATAAAACATTTCTAATATTCAGACTTCGTTCCTTGTGAATGTTTTTCAATGAAGAATCTTGGTGTAAATTAGACTCATGTGTTATGTTCGATGCACTTTTACGAATGCATTAATTAAAATAACGAAGATGTCTTTATTTTTATGCAGAAAGTTTTATATTTACGATGCAGATGATCGTATATTATCATTCAATAAATATGCGGAATGCCCTCTTAGTATTTTTTCTGTATAATCTAAATACAAAAGGTTGTAATTTCATGAAAGTTGAATTTTATAAAACAAATAATCATGTTGAAAAGAAAATATAGAGAATACAAGAAAATGTTTTTTATGTGAATCAATGCACAGATCTCATATTTTGTATCTCACAGGTATACATTTCAACTAGATCACTGTAATTCTCAAATTGTGACGTGTGCACCTCGAAGATTTCGTAAGTGTTTAGGTTGTACATGAACTGTCCTCAAGAAAGGATTAGCGGAATTGCCGAAAAGCAAGTATGGCGGAACATTTATACAGGTGACAGGTGACGGAGGACGGGGACGCCTGGTGTTTAACAGGGGTAAGCAGGCCTTCCACTAACCAGATGCACCAGTCCCACGCCTTCCACTAACCAGATGCAACAACTCCCTGGAGCCGCACAAGGCCGCACCTGGAGCTTATTGATATTCCATTCAGATTAAACATGGCCATACAAGGGCGACATTGTGCTACATTGAAATTTGATGTACATTTGTGGGTGGGGCAGTCTTGTTTGTACATTAAACACAGCATAAACACACATGAAATGTGCACATAAATAAATAAATAAATAAATAAAAAGAATACATGAATACTAAAAACACCTATAACTTTCAAACACCTAAGACGCTTCAGACACGTAGACACCTAAACACTTAAAGACACTTGGGAACATTTATACAAAAGCCAGACAAAAGTTTCCTTCAGCTTCCTGATAACTTTATTCACAAAATATTAATCTCCCTTAAAAGCATACTACAAGGTGTGGCTATTAATTTCCAGGACTCCTGTAATAACACCAGAACAGATGATGTGAAAAACGTAACCTTTTAATATGTTTCGAAGTAGTCCCTATCTACCGTAATACACTTCTGTGCTCGGCAGTTGTGTAAACGACTTTTAAAGTTGTGGAAACTTTTAAAGTTCTGGAACTTTTAAAGTTGTGGAACTTTTAAACGACTTTGTAAAGTTGTGGAAATGACTTTTAAAGTCCTCTTTCGGAAGGCTCATCAATGTTGACGTCACGTTGCAATACAACACCCGCCCCCCACATTGCGTTCCAAGTGAAGAGGATTTTGGCCAAGCATGAGGTCGTGGTGCTGCATCATCTGCCATACTCTCCTGACTTGGCACCCACAGACTTTTTTTTTTGTTTCCCAAACTAAAAACTGTGATCAAAGGAACATGCTTTGTGGATGTTGAAGACATCAAGAAGAACGTGACGTCGATATTGAAGAGCCTTCCGAAAGAGGACTGTAAAAGTTGTTTCCACAACTTATACAGCCGAGCACAGAAGTTACGTTTTTCTCATCATCTGTTCTGGTGTTATTAGAGTAGTCCTGGAAATTAGTAACCACACTTTGTATATTAGAATGAATACATCTACTTTCTTGTTGTTGACTAATGCTCACTTCAATCCAAGCCCACAAAATTCCTCGTGGCAAGGGCGCGACTTTGCCCAATTTTTCCGCTCTTCGGCACGGCAGTGAGTGACGCTAACCACTATACCAGTTGGGCGGCACACATCAACGTACCATTACTTGTATTCACGAACATTTTATTTTAATGCAAGACAAGACGATACAAATAAGCCCAGTTTTATTCCAATGCATTAAACATCCCGATAACAGATTATGAGAAGTGTAAATGGATTTTGCATTTACAGTTAATGGACGGAGATCTTTCTCCCAAATAAAATTATATAATTTTTTTTTTTTTGTTTTATTCAGTCTGTTATGTTAATAGTTTTAATTTGTGAACTTAACCGTAACAATTTACTCTTAAGTCAATAAGGCAGTTGCAATAGTTATAGAGCACATACATTATTTGATTGTTAAGTTTTTGTTGACGAATATTTTCACATCACTGCTTGGCATGTTAGTGCATTGCGAGTTTACATAAAATATGATTTAGATTTTCATTACTTTTCTTTCGCAAACAGTATTTACGATTTTAAAACATAAAACGCCAAACCTATTTTGCTGCGGATCGACGCGGCATTTAATGTGTTTAATGGCAAAGAGTTGAATAGGAAACTGAAGCTACAGACAGGAATTCATTTGTAAAATCGCTACTGAGCTTGGAAGGTGAATCTGTCTCGTTTAAACTTCGTCAGCAGGAACCAGGATAAGCAAAACAAATATAACACGCTTTATATACTTAAGTTTATGATGTATCACTTCTTACATAAGAAGCGGGGAGAATCTACGGCACTATATATTATTCGTCATGATTTTTTACCAAAACTTTGACAGACACTAGGAATTTATCGAACCAGGAGATGTGAAAAATGTGCAGTATCCTCGACGGGACTCAAACCACGGACCTCTCGAATATGCGCCGAGCGTGCTCACCATTACACCACGGAGGCATGTAAGAAGGCGGGAAAAATACCTTATAACTTTACTCAAACACTTATAATAAAAATTATATTCATCAGAAATATGAGAATATGATATAAAATCTGACTAAAAGAAGAACTGTTATTCGGCCTTTTTTCATCTACACTCACGTCCATAAATTAAGGATAATTCGAAGTCACGCGGAAATCGAACTCTAAAATAAATATATCACCTGTAAAATCACTGCACACATCTTCAAGAATCATATGCAAATTTCAGGAAGTAACCACATGACACCAATGTACGTCACAATGACGAGAGTGTAAGAGAGTGATATATAAGGAATACAGGCAAAGAAGTACAATTGTTCGCAGGCGCTTTATAAGCATTTCATTGCAATAACCGAATAGTTATGACACAAAGGACGCATTTGGATGATTTTTTACGTGGTAGAATTATCCGCCGTCTGGAATGTGGGCGTACCCAACTGGAAGTATCAGACGAACTTGGAATTGCCCAGAGTGTCACAGGTCGCCCCAGAGTTACAACGCCGAATGAGGACCGGTATTTGGCAGTTACTGCCAAAAGAAACAGGCGGAGCACAGCCTCAGACCTGTCTCGTCAGCTCTCTTCAGCCACTGGTAAGACAATTTCAAGGCTGACCGTGTACAGACGCTTAGGGCAGATTGGTTTATATGCTCGTAGACCTGTCAGATGCGTTCCACTTACTGAAACTCACTGTCGCCTGCGGTTAGCCTGGAGTAGAGAGCACGCATTGTGGACACCGCAACAGTTGGCTTGTGTGATGTTTTCCGACAAGTCCAGGTTTAGCTTGCATTCTGATTCTACCCCGGACTTTCATATGGAGATCTCCAGGTACCCGTTACCACCAAGAAAACATCATTGAAGACACCGTTACGGTGGTGCAGGAGTGCTCGTTTGGAGTGGAATTATTCTGGGTTCCAGAACTGACCTGCATGTTCAAATTGGAACCATGACAAGCCAAATCTATCGGGATGCCATTCTGGAACAACATGTACGTTTGTTTCGGGGCGCAATGGGCGCACAATTTGTGTTTATGGATGATAACGCTCGTCCTCACCGTGCAAACATCATAAGCGAATGCCTTCAATCGGAGGATATCACCCGGACTGGCCAGCAATCTCACCGAACTTTAATCCAGTAGAGCACGTATGGGACGTGTTTGACCGACGAGTTGCAGCCCGTCAATCTCCTCCTACATGTCTACCGGAACTTCGGAGAGCATTGCTTTTTAGTGGTGTAATATCTCCCAAGATCAGATCGATAATTTGATACTCAGCATGCCTAGGCGTTGTATGGACTGCATTGCATCGTCTGGGAGACATACAATGTATTCAAAATCATACCAACCATGTAATATTGTTTTTTTGTAAATAGGTTTATTTATTTATTTATTTGTAATTTGCTCCATGGAGAAAAAATCGCTATTTTTTTTTTTTAATAATATCAAACATATAGCTTCTTTTTTTGCTCTTTACCTTTTGTTTAATAAATAAGCTTTACAAATAAGTCAAATTTGTTTTGCTTCTAACTCTTCCTTTGCCTGATTTTACATTATCCTTAATTTATGGACATGAGTGTATGAATATTAAACAACCCTGTAGCATCATTCAAAATAAGTTTAAAATTAAGGAAGAGCTGTAAAATTCTGCACAGATTTAGAGTCATAAAAATGATGCTGTTAAGGCAAACGAGGAAAAAGAAAGCAAATCAGTGGGAATGGTAACCTTTTGTGCAAATGTTACCGTGCCTCCCATCATATTAATCAAAACTAACAGTTTGGAGAAATAACCAATAACAAACTTAATTCCATAAAATGTGTTGCCGTACAGATCAAAGAGAGTAAACATATACAAATATGACGCGACTGCTGATATTCATGTGATAGCATGATTTTACCATCACTTTGACTAGCAAACGTAGTTGTGTGATCTTCGAGGGAAAGAAAATTGATCCACTAGCAAAATTTATTTCAGTCATGTCTTCATAGTGGGCAATAATTGAAATAATACAAATGATGTGAAAACAGCATTGACAGGCGTAATTTTGATAGAAACAGTACAAATAATTTCATAAAATCACAAGAAGAAAATTTCATATAGTCTTCACTCTTCGGAAAGGAATAACCACCATAAAAATGTTCTCCTTTGTATAGAAGTAAACTAATCTCCAAAAGAAATTGATCTGTTTTATTGTATAAATTGAGAATAGGAGGTTCCAGTTGTTTTTCCTCCTAAGAATAAGTGTGAGTTTAGTACATTTTTTCGGCGGGAAACGATTTTAATTTAACGAAAATAAAGAGTTCTGGGACCAAAGCCTTCATCTTTGTTTCAATATTACTATCTTCAGCAGAAATTTGATAGCAAAAATTAAATGTATTTTTTTCATTCTGCTTCCGACATTTCTTTCAGAAATTATATCTGAAAATTTCTTAAAATAAGAACCTTATAGCGATAAATTTCTAGCCAAAACCCAGCTGAAATTTTTAATCGGACGAATAGTCTATAACTTCTAAGCTGAGTTGGATACCAGAAAGAAACAAACCTTGATGCAACGTCCTGGATTCAAAAAAGTCGTTGAGTTTTCATATTCGTTTTTATCTCTACAATTACAGAGGGTGTTTACGCATTTCCAGAATGATTTCGATACAGAATTTTAAAAAAAGAAAAAGTTTTAGAATGAAAATTTCTGGTACCAGCTTATTATTTGAAATGAGAAATATCGTCTGCTATTTTTCAATTAATTCTTCTTTCTGAATGTAAACAAGCTGTAGATTGAAGGATACGTTTCTGCGCTTTCGGAAGGTAAACATTTCTGTTCCATCATTTAAAAACCATGTGAAAAGAGTAAAACAAGCAATATTATGAATCGGAAAGGGCAAAACAGTTCATCGTTACTTCTACATGGAAAGAAAATTTCAAACGAATGGCCCAAAATGGCACGTACTATTTCTAATGTTCCTAAAGTTAGATTGTCGGCAACAAGAGAAAATCCGCCGATGCAGAAATCAACTGCAAAGTCTTTAAATATACCTGTAGCAACAATAAATAAAATAATAAACCAAAATAAATTTACAGAATTACAAAATAAATTAAATCTATTTTAAGATTTACAACTTGAAAAAAATAGATTTACAAATTTGAAAAAATAGATTTACAATTTGAAAAAAAAAAGTAGATTTACAAATTTGAAAAAAATAGATTTACAAATTTGAAAAAATAGATTTACAATTTGAAAAATAGATTTACAATTTGAAAGAAATAGATTTACAAATTTGAAAAAATAGATTTACAACTTGAAAAAAGTAGATTTACAAATTAGAAAAAATAGATTTACAATTTGAAAAAAAAAAAGTAGATTTACAATATGAAAAGCTAAAAAACACAATGTTCACAAGCTTTTGCCGAGACATGTGGCTCAACGCAGAACAGTTTGTGGAACCCTGGATGAAAAGAAATGCATTGTGACCTTTGATTAAACATACCGGGTGATCAAAAAGTCAGTATAAATTTGAAAACTTAATAAATCACGGAATAATGTAGATAGAGAGGTAAAAATTGACACACATACTTAGAATGACATGGGGTTTTATTAGAATAAAAAAAAAGTTCAAAAACTGTACCGTTATGGTGCCTTTTTTCTTAGAGGAAATGCCTGATTCTGGTTTGTAACTGCTACCGTGACGGGTGAGAGGTAGGCCGATATGTTACAGAATCGCATCGTTCGCACCTGGCTGATAAACACCTGCTGGAACGTACGATTTTTATGCAGGATGGCGCTCCACCCCATATTGCTAGACGCGTGAAAGATCTCTTGCGCGCGTCGTTTGGTGATGATCGTGTGCTCAGCCGCCACTTTTGTCATGCTTGGCCTTCCAGGTCCCCAGACCTCAGTTCGTGCGATTATTGGCTTTGGGGTTACCTGAAGTCGCAAGTGTATCGTGATCGACCGACATCTCTAGGGATGCTGAAAGACAACCGACGCCAATGCCTCACCATAACTCCGGACATGCTTTACAGTGCTGTTCACAACATTATTCCTCGACTACAGCTATTGTTGAGGAATGATGGTGAACATATTGAGCATTTCCTGTAAAGAACATCATCTTTGCTTTGTCTTAATTTGTTATGCTAATTATTGCTTTTCGGATCAGATTATTGCTTTTCTAATAAAACCCCATGTTATTCTAAGTACGTGTGTCAATTTTTACCTCTCTATCTACATTATTCCGTGATTTATTAAGTTTTCAAATTTATACTGACTTTTTGATCACCCGGTACATTGACCTAAATGACTGCAACGAAAAAAAATGTCTATTTTTTTGTTAAAAACAAAGAGAGAAAATCCTAGTTTTGTTAAAGCAAAGAAATTTTCAGAAAAGGAATTATGATTGTCGCAGGATTCTCTTATTATGGGCAATTAAAAATAAGAAGAGTGTGAAAAAATGTTGGAATCAATTCAGCGTACCGACAAGAAGTTTAATGTCCGATATTTACAGAAGAAATTCCATTTCTTTATCCCAATGGCTTTCAAAGAGTGAAATTTCATCAAGACCAAGCAACAAGTCGTACTTCAAAAAGTACCACTGCATTTTCTTTCAAAAAGGGAAGATTGATAAAGGAATTGCAAACATACCTTTTCGACGTACTCCTGCGAAGTCTCCTGACGTTTCACCTATGGACGTCAGGAGTCCCTGATGTTTCGTCTATTGTCCCTCTGGTCTCTTGGAAGAGACCTCATTGTAAGCTACGACTACAAACCCGCTACGACTGATGGACTCTTGAAAGTAGTGGAAGATGAATGGAAATCAGTACCCCTAGAAATTTTACGGAAAGCCCTTTTATTATGGAAATACAGGATGCAGACTTATGGTTCATAAAAAAGGCTTTCAAATCGAACATTTAAAAGAATACTCTTTATATTTTAAGCACGTTTAAATGGCCGCGAAATCACTCTAATTAATAACATGTAAACACCCTGTGTAGCGTTAAGAATATTAGAAGTATCTAAGTTTTTATTTATAATTCCTTATTTTTGAACTAATTCGTAGAGAATGTGCATACAATTTTTCTATTATTTTTATACGAAATATGACTTCTTGATTGGTAACGGCGATTTTCAATAAAAAATAACACAGATAAGTATTCTTTAAGTATCTTTCTCACACACACAAACACAAAAATTAAATTGTTTGGGAAAGTTTGAGTTATGCCTAAGGTCATATACAGTCAGAAGGTTTTATTCATGTCTTAGTTCCGCTGAAAGTAGAAAATACTGTAAAGAATCACTAAACTGGGTAAAACCTAAATTTTGAAATAACGAAGCGAAATAACTTATTAAAAATAATAACTATAAAAAAACGGAATAAAAATAATCAATATTTACTTATGTGTGGAAAAATCAAAATTTATATCGTTTTACTTCTGAAGTTATAATATTTTTAGAAATTTATACACTGAATGCTAGTCTTGCTGTACTATCCATATATACATGTTGCTTTTAAAAGATATATAATATCTTAAGAAAGAAGCTAAAGCTAATTTGATACTACTTCCAGTTTGGAAGTAGTAGTTTACTACTTCCAGTTTGGATGATTTTTTTAAATTTGAATTTCATCCCACAAGGTTTGGTGACGATTCCTGGAGCGGGAGGAGGTACATTTTTGGGAGGATATCTGGTGAAAAAGTTGAACCTACGGTGTGCTGGCATCATTAAAATGTGCATTATCTTCTCTTTCATCTGCGTTGGACTGGTCTTCATCTTCATTCTGCACTGCCCGAACGCAAAATTTGCTGGACTTAATCACTTCCTGCCGAACAGGTATTCAACAGAACTTTGCAATCCAAATATTGAATGTATGTACTAAAATATGGTCTATCAAAATCAGAAATCTAAAATCTAAACTAAAAATCAGAAATCCTTTTTCCTAGATCTGATGTAGCTCTTAATAGTTCTTATGACTGTAATTTTCATAGCCCTATTACAGAATTTTTAGTTAGCTAATCGAAAAAGATTTGGGATTTATTTTAAACTTCTTAAGAAGCTGTGCTGCTGATAATTGTCAAAACTTTTTTCCAAACGCAGGTTTTGTTTTTAATACAAAATGCACCTATTTCATAAGTAGCGAATCGGAATTGCTAAATGTTCTCTTGTGTTCTTTTGCGTGTGCGGGTAAACTTCTGAATTCATGGAGGAGGAATCCAACAACAGAAACTTCGCTGCTTTGGCATTCGACGGTGACCAAATTTATTAGTGATTTAACTGTGTTATTATTGAGAGCGTTTCTCACCTGGGAAGCATTTCATATTCCACCCGGAAAACAGGAGAAGACAACGTACAAACAACTAAGCCTTATACAAGAGTATAACAACTATCTTCTGAAAAAGCTTGTTTAGTAGATGAGTGTTTTAAAATCTTAGTTGAATAACCACGTAATTAAAAATACAGTCAAAAATGATTCTCTTATGTGTCATAGTTAGTCATGTGTACTATAATTTGATTTAAATAGTTCTTTGCTCTGCAACAGTTCTTCACCAACATACAAGGCACATTCTGTCTTTGATTGCCTAAGCTTTGAAATTTCAAGAAACGGCCTTCAACATTCAGCGCTTTCATCCATTCAAGATCATGAGTTTCAGCTCTTTTTTTTTTATAAATGGGTCTCTGGCCGATATGCTAATCCCCTGTAGATCAGCTGCCTCATTGAGGAAATAATGAAAACATTCGCTCGTCTGGAAATTTCCGACCCCCCTCCCTCACATGACCTTCATTCGTAAACTTGTATCCGTACACGGCACTTTTATCACACTGCGAACCTTACATTTCAAGAGAATGTCGATTACCAACCATCAAGAGTTGCATATTTGAGACCCCAGTCTTCTCTTATTACATCAGATAAAAAAAATTTAAACGAGTATAATCAGCAGGCATTGCTCTTTACTCCCTATACATTAAGTACTGAACACAGCAACTGAACACTGAGGGAAAAGGTTGTGACGTCGTAAATGTGCCAGTAATAAGGAAGCACTGATGATACATCAATTTCTTTATTCACAACAACAACAAGAAGCCACAGATACAACATTCAATTCATACATTTACAAGACCTTAATCGATATCCGAGTTGGTGACACGATCAGAGACGTTAAACAAGATGGCACTTGTCATTTTCATTGGACGAATAAAAAGCCTCCACACCTTCGCTCGCTGGCGGAGCTTCTCCACTCTCTCCGACAAGCGTCGACATCTGCTATACTTGCGCATGCGCATTACTCTGTAACGTTGTTGCCATCCAGAGTTCTTTATAGACTGACTCATGCGCATTACTCTGTAACGTCTTTGCCATCCAGAGTTCTTTTATAAGGCAAACTTGTCGTAACTTATTTCTGCTCCTTGCTGTGCAGCACTGCAGAAAGCGATGCCCTCGAACCAGCGAATGGGAGGTTGATTTTCGAGCATCTGAGTATTACTCATAAATAAGAATACTTATTTACAATATCATATTCAAATTCAAACGTCGTCCAATAACTGTGTTCTTAAATTGTTAAGCTTTAGATATCGTTTCTTTTTCTGGGCAAGATAGAAGGGGTTAATACCTCGTATATGGGCCTAGAAGAAATTTAATTAGTAGCTTCAAAGAACGTGTACCGTATTATTATTATCACTTAACTGTCTTCTTGCGTTTTGAAGCTGCTTTACATAGCACATCTAACTTTTCCTATTTGAAAGTAATTCTTCTTCTATGAAGGAAATTTTTCATCTAACTGCACAGAAAATAACCCTGGCATAGCAAAAATGTTTAAAAAAAAAATTATCAATTTAACAAAAATAGTTTTATTTGTAGCATAAATTTTTTTAAATCTAATGTAGTTCGTTGTATAAGCAGAAAAACCATGACTTAAAATTTGCATTTTAATGCATTAAAACACTTATATTTACCAAACACATTTAATTGGAGGAATGTTTATCATTTTTTGCTTTACATAGAGCAATTAGTTCGCTCAGAAATTGCTAATTTATCTAGTTTACTCTTGACAAAATGTTCAGCATATTTTATTTAATTATTTAACATTATATCCAACAATATGAGATATCAGATTTCTAAAATCTGGTTCTGAAATTGAACCAAGGGCATAATTCGTGATGTTTATTTCTTATCGATGAAAGACGTCACATCATTAGATGCTGAGACGACAATAATTAAAAAATTCCTTAAATTTCCCTAAACCTAGACAAACTTTTCTTTAATCAAGCCTTTAATGCTTGCTTAGTTCCAGTATAATTATACTACATTTATATATTTTGGTGCGACTTTTTTTTACTTTGAGATATCACTTTATTTGCGTAAATTATTCAGTGCTTAACTTGCGCAGGAGCCCACTGGAGCCCGGCTCCGGTACTTCTCAATTTTTAAGACAAATTACAATTTTAGCCGAAGCGCACCGGAGCCCTAAATAAGATGAGCTCCGGTACTTCTTTTTATAAATCTGAACCACAATTTAAAGGGAAAAAAATTTAGATTTCCTAACGTTTTAGTTTAACAATAAGCAGACCTTGCAATACTCTATTTCCCTAAAAATACTCACTCATGAGAACATGAGACGTTCAAGTAAAGGTCCCCTCAAGCACATGCGGAAACCTTTCCCTTTAAGATGGGCAATAAATTTGAGGGAGTTTTTTAGGAACGCGTAAATTTCTCGCCATGCCATCGTATCTAGTGTATTGTTATCGATGCTTACAGTTAGTTATTCTCGCAGGAAGGAAAATTTGTGTTCTTAAATGTGCGTTAAGTGACAGCAGGTACAGTAAGAGTGAAATACTGAGATAAACTGCTCAAGCACGTCCTATACATCGTTTTCCCACCGTATCCACTAATGGGGGGAAAAACGTAACCAGCAACTTTACATTCATCCTTAGGAGTCAGATTCAGGACTCATTTTACCTCTGACACACATCCGCTTGATGGCTATAGTTATATCGGCAGAGAGCCGCGGTCAAAGAGAACGTTCTCTCTTACCAAGATTCCCCTCATTTTTTGTTTCCACCCACTCATACCCTCATTCTGTTTTGCCCTGGAATTTTCATCAGCTATACTTTAAGTAAATTTAATTTTTGTGATGATAAAAGAACTCCCCCCCCCTACGATCAGAGCTTAAATTGGGCCGGAACCACCGGATCTCGGCTCTAGTGCTTCTTAGTTTTTGTAATCAATCATAATTCTAGCCGGAAATTTATCTCAAATTTTATAAAAGTCGCTTATTAAATTTCAATTTATCTCTTCACATTTTATTTAATTACTCCAATCTTTAATTATTTTATCAAATAATAATTATTGATTCATTAACAATTTATAAACATTAATTAAATAGCTATTAATTAATTTGATAATAATTAACTATTTAATTTTAAAATTATGAATGAGTTTAATAGTCATTTTATTTATTTATTTACTCTTGTTCCTCTTTGCTGACGGTCTTCCATAGGGCTCCGGTACTTCTAATCTTAGAAATTAAGCTCTGAAATTATTTGAAATAACTTCTAAAATAAGCTTTTTTTCTAGCTCCGAGCCACTGGATGTGCCCAAATTTCAGAGTTCGTGTAATGCAAACTGCGACTGTTCTCCGAGACAGTACGATCCCATTTGCGGAACAGACAATATTGTCTACTACTCACCCTGTTTTGCAGGATGTGCAAACACATACCAGTCTGAGAGTACGAAGGTAAGATTTGTCATTTCTGGCAATGTCATTACCCCCCAGCAGAAATTTAAAAAAAACTTGCCTTTTTTCTTATTTATATGTTTGTTTTCATTGCTTAGGTATATGGAGATTGTACCTGCATTCAACATGAGGGCAGAAATTTGACCATCCAAGGCCAGAACGTTGTCATTCAAGCTACACGAGAAAAATGCGCGAACTACTGTAGCTATATGCCTGCATTCCTTCTCTTGATCTTCCTATCGATGCTGTTCACTTTCTTAGTCAGCATGCCCTCACTTTCTGGAACATTAAGGTAATATTCTAGTTTCCTTCAGAGAAAGAAATACTTTTTGATAAGTGATGTCCCAATTGAGTCTTGACAATTTTATTACCAACTCAACCCAAATGAAATAGCCTGCCTGTCATCCCTATTCAACCTTCATTTTCCTCCCTCTCATATGAAAGGAAAGAAGGATTGGCTTACAGTTCTTTAGCTTCTTTTGCCAAAATATTCAGGATGTGTGTTTAACTTATGCCGTGATCCTCTCGTTTTGATTTTCCCCAAGAGCCAATTTTTAGTAGTTTATCTCAGTCGTTGGATTTTTTACAGAATTATGTTCTTTTTGAAATGCATCTACGCTTAATGGAATTAAGCTTTTCGGCGGGAAAAGATTCCCAATTTAGGACTGGTTACAGGCAGCGTCAAGAAAAGATTAATTAAATTTTATAGCTGAAAAATTACGAATAAATAACATTTATGACTAAAATTTTGATACAGGTTACCTCCTTGTAACAAGCTCTTAAAATATTTAAAAAGCACTAAAATAATGTAAGACAGAACTGAAAAAATAAAACAATTACTAAATACAATGTAGTTTTTATACACAATAAAAGGTAAACCATACCCAAAAAGTGTTGTTTTTCAGAACATTGATTTATTTATACAAGGAGGTGTAAAAACTTTTATTACAAACATGACTTAAGGAACTAATTTCAGATCAATTCAGTTAGGAATTTATACAGAGTTTTTCCAACCGAGGCTCAATTCGGAATACAAATGCCAAGACTGAGTTGGGAAAGGATTGCATTAGTACTAAACTCTTTTGCCAGCCTTATAAAAAATGTCTTTGTACTACTTGTTGTTATTCGCACAGTTTCTGTCCTTTTGTTACTAGTAACACCTTCCAAAAATCAATCCTGTTTGCGTCATTTAAAAATTAACCCGTATTGTGCCATTATGTAAGAGTAATATTGCGGACACTTCTTGTCCAATGACCGTTCAAAATTTAAACAAACATAAATAACACATTGCTAAAGGGCGCAATCACTTTTGCTGTGCTAAGATGTGCTGTCTCATCGCTTTGTTCTCTGTGTCATCCGTTGCCAAAAATACGTAATAGGTATTCTAAGAAAAATTATGGGGAATTTTATGTATATGTATTGTGGAATTAATATGTAATTCCTTATCGTAATAAGGAACAAAATAGGAGAAACATATCTCTCAACATGCTGTTGCTGCATTCAGTAAGCATTGATAATAAGCTTACTGCATTTTAAGAAAATCCCGACTGAAATCGTTAACCCTTTGCGGCACAGTGTGTCCGGTCCGGACACACCTAAAAATTGCCTTCTGTGCGCACAGAAAAATTGAATGAAAAAGGATTTATAGGTTACTCTGAACCTTCTTTATTTATAGTAGATGGCAGCTCAACACAACAGTCCATACATTTTAGCTATGTTTAGTTTTTTAAGACCCTCATTTTTCAAAGAAATCTTCCAGATTAATTTTAGGGTATAAAAGGAATTGTTTGAAAAGAAATTTCTATGTTGTTTTTTGGCAGTATGCTGATCTCCTTATTCTATACTAGTTTTAAAATTTTTACCTTGAAATCTTGGCTAAAATCAAACGGCGAACCCTAGGTGTGCCCAGACCGGGCTCACCGATAATCTAGGGCAATTGAGAGTCTGTATTTTTTGTTTCTTCGCATCTCATCGGTCAGTTCATTGACAACAATGCTCATTTCAGCATTCTTTTCGAAGCTCTATTCAATCAGTGTAGTGGGCACACCCACAGAATTAAACGATAAGTGTTATTTTACTTCACAAAATTTTTACTTGGGTACTCTATGTCTAATTAGACTGCCTACTTTTTTTTAAAATCAAAATTCCAACTTTAAAAGGTAGGTGCCGGAAAGGGTTAATCGTAATGACAAAATTTTGCAGTTTGCCTCTTCCTGCTTAGTGATTACCGTGTAAGAATTATGTTAATTTTATTAACAGTTCCTTTTCTGCCGATTCTTAACTTCAACTTACTACTTCCGGCCAGAACGTAGTTTTAGATTCACGTTTGAATACATAATGAGGAAGAGGGGTATTTAACCGCAAAGCTCTTCGGTCTTAGCGAGAGAGTTACCAGGTATCCTGTCTGCACGCGTCCGCCTTTTCAGGCTGCTCTCTCGTAAGCTATTATTACGCTCATCCGTACTTAGGTCCTTGATAGCTTGATAGCAGTCAATTAGCGTTAAGGGGCCAACTCGGTTAGAATCTTGACAGCTTCGGTTATATCACGTTTTAGTTTATATTAGTTTTAGTTTACTTCTTAGCTTCTTAAGTTCAAACCCAAGTGTCGGCTTTTATTGTACACTCCAAGAAGGAGTTCTGTTAAATCTTATCTGAATAATAAAGGGTTATTTACCCTTCCATCTTGTTCTTTCTTGTCACACGAACTCAAGCGATTGTTCGCTTATCAGTTCTTAATATTTTTCAAGTCTAACTGTAATTTAGCAAAGTGAGGAACTCTACAACCGCTTAACTGATGCACTGCTCAGTGCTTAGTACTGTACTGTGATCACTGCTTACTGCTATACTTCTTGCTTTACTGCTTTTTGCTTAGTAATTACCAAAATCTGAAAGTGTCCTTTTCTTTTGTAAAAAAATAATGATATTTTTTTTCCGATGAGATTTTTTTCTGGGGACAGTTTTTCCGCGTCTGATAAAAAAAATAATCTTCCAGTAATGCATATTTTGGATAATTTTTGATACATCAGTTTTCGTTATGAAATACTGCAAATTATTGATTTGTTATGTAAAAGGAGGAAATGTTATCAACTTGTACTTTCATTCCCAGATGTGTTGCTGAGAGTCAAAAGTCTTTTGCCCTTGGAGTTCAGTGGATCGCTGTCAGACTTCTTGGTAAGTTTCCTTTTCTGCACACCGTTCTTAACCTTCGTTTACAAAACAGACCTTAATAAAATTAATCACATAAAAATTTTAATCATGTAGTATCAATTTGAAAAATATGGCTATCATTCATTTTTTGCTTATTTGTTCCTTTTCTCGAGTTTTCAAATTTCATAGCTCTTTAAAAAGGCCTCTCTGACTAACAGGAGTCAATTTTTATCACCGTATTAAATTACTAAATAAATTAAGTTGATTCAATTTGAGCAAATTTTCTTTTGATCCAAACACGTTTCTGATTTACTATATGAAAACATAAATGATGAAACTTTTAAAAAATCAGAAGTTAATCATCATATAATCCGGACGCTAAATGTTAAACTGGATTTTATTTGGAAGATAGAAATTGATTATATTATTTTTTGATAATATGAATTTCCTAGAAATTTATTATCAAGCTGATTCGTTTAAAAACCAAACCTTGTACAATCATTTAACCATAATCTTGTTGAATATCAAATTTAAGATGTATTCATTTAAAAAAATCTAAAGGTTTTATTCTGAACATATAATACTTTTAAAAACATTTTTTGGGATATTTTTTTTTAATATAGATTATTATTTTTCTTCTGAATTTAAACATTTCAGGAACATTCCTATGACATTTTAATTTATCAATATTGATAATTTTATTTAACACTTTAACTTCGTATAAAAACAACTTCGCAGTTTTTTTAACACAAAATATTTGATTATTTATGTTATTCATGTTCTAATATCCTAAGACAATTTTCAGATTTCAAAATACAATAAAATCACACTTATAAATAAATAAAAAAAATGCTTATTCAGCAATGTTCAGCTCGAAAAATTTCGTTGCCTTTCTTGAATGCCAAACAAAAATTTCCTTAATTTTTAACTTTTGATCTCGTAGTTTGTTTTCCCCACCTCCTAGGAAAAATATAGCTTTGCTTTTGCACGAATCAAGCAAAAGGCCTAGTCTCTAAAAGACGGCAAATATTTTGAAAGCTTGTATTATCTAAGCATCTTTATTGCTACTGAATTTTTTTTTTTCCTAGGTACCATTCCGGCCCCTATTTTGTTCGGCTCCTTGATTGATCTGAGTTGCGAATTGTGGCAAGATACATGCAACGAGCAAGGTGCATGTCTCTTCTATGATAACCAACTAATGAGTACGAACGTCCTCATTTTGGCGTGCGTTCTGAAGTCTCTGTCTTGCGTATTCTTCTTTTTTGCTTGGTTACTCTACTGTCCACCAGGAGGCGTAGAAGACAGCGGCGAGAATGAAACTAAAGCAGAAATATGCACAGTTATGGATGCTGGCCACAAAGACATTCTTACATCTGATTCCTTTGCTGTGAGCAAGGGAGAATCTGACATAAAAATATTGAATGGAAACATAATTTGAACCTTTAAAACGATTTCCATTGTCAATATACCATCAAAGAATATTTAAAACCCATGTTTCGGGCTATTTATACATCATTTGTATGACTTTGAAGTGCAGTCATTTTAAAATTATCATGCTTTAGTCAGATTATCCTGAAAAGCATGTTAGAGAACTGACAAACAGAACAGAATGTCAAATGTATATATTACATGTTTTTTTCCAATGTACAAAATATATTCATGGCAAATACTTATACTTTATTATATAACGTATTTCTTGAAAGCCTGTTTACAGTTTGTACTCGTATAGGAAGTATGAATGAGTTGATATTTTAAATTTCGCCAATTCAGATCTCGTTTTTATCGTAAATATATATCTCAGAAGGTGGGAAATTGTGATCTTTTTATTGTAAGGTATTCTATCTTTATATAATTGATTCAATAACTTTAAAATGGATCATCTCGAGGTAGATACTTTAAACAACTTGCACTCTTTCTCAGGTTTGTAACTTGATACTGAAAGATTTCAACTCGCAATCTACTTCCTGTTATGTTGACATTTTGTAAAAAAAAAAACTCGAGCTGCGTGAAGAAAGAAATTGCTTCGAATCATCTTCAATGTTCCGTGCTTGTAATAAGCTGTTTGTAAATAGATTTTGCCTTTTATATTGTATATGAACGAAAATTTCAGTACTCTCTACAAAATAATGCGGATTTTTTTTTTCTTTCGCTTTTGTCAACAGTAACGTTATTTAAATGTTGTATTATTGATTCAAATTATTTATCACAGTTTTATGATCTAGAACATATATTTCTGTTACATAATGTCGATCGAAAAGTAATTCAGGATCCTGACCGGGGCAATTAATGTTGTATAAATTTAGTTTGTAATAAAGTGTCCATAATTTTTATGATTCTTTTTAGATTCCTGGCAAAATTTAATTTTATCATATGGGGACAATACCTGGATTTTCAGGAGGATGAGGAATAATTTCTCATTTATAAGGATTAAAAATTTACAAAATTATTTGTGCAGGATGTGATATAGCATTATCATCACCATTAATATTGTTATGGACTGTAGCTACGAAATAACGAAACTAATTTTCTTTTAAATCCATCTTTTATTTTATTCGAAAATTAACCGCTTAATTAGCAGCCATTCAAAAATCCAAGCAACAAAATTTTCATCGAACAAGCTAATAAAAAAGAATTGCAAAAAAACAAACGATATTTGACGCATGTGGCGTTACAAGATTCGTTGCTAGGCAACTACGGTAGAGTTTTCGTATCGCAGAGGATCAGCCATGGAGGTAGGAAAGGGAGGAGGGGCCAACCCACGCTAAAAGTGAAGCACTGCTTTGAAGCTTGGGTCACCAGATGGGGTGTTCTTTGTTTACATTCAGAAGCTCGCTTGACAAGATTCTGATAGTATTTCGACACACGACAGTTCCATAGAAGTCGAAAAAGGGACACTTTCGCATGAAAGAAACATTCATAGTATGATGGATAATAGCAATTTGTATAGTTTAGTGACATTTACGCAAAAATCACATCTTGGTTATTTTTCAATAACTAACAACCGCGATTTTGATTATGAATTTGTTTTATAAAATTATAAGCTGTTGCACTACAAAAATATAGATTTTAAGAAAAATGTTATGCTTAAAGAATGAAAAATACCGTACGGTACATTTAAAATTGTATACGTCTTTCGATACCCTTGATAGAGTATTCGCTACTTTTATTTTATTTTCCAAACGTCAAAATGTTTTAAATAAAACAAATGTTTTTGCACATCCATATATTATTGTAACATGTACCTTTTAAAATTTTTAAGAGGAGAGGCTTTACTGCTGCTCATTTAAACCCATCGTTTTAATTTTATATATCTGAAAAATAATCACTTTGGACTTACACGTTTTATAATATAAAAATTATGTATGTTAAAATATTTGTAATTAGGCACATAGGTCAGATTAAGTTTTTATTAAATAGAGTAACGCATGCAAGGGCTATCTGCCTAAAGAGAGAGATGCCATCGTGGAGGAATTTTGAAGAAAAACTGACCTTTGAGTGGGTATTAAAAATAATACTTATAATTTTCATTCAAATTATATTCATATATATATTTTATGTAAAACTTTCGGGTGTATGCTAAATTAGTGTAAATTACTTTACACGAAAAAATATAGTGAATGCACAGAAATTAAAGATTTGCACATGCCGGAAATGAAAAATAGGAAATATGTATGGGTATTTATGCATGTGCTTGCAAAAAGCATGTATCTGCCTTTGACAAAATACTTAAATATTCATTAAATTATTTATAAATGTATTTGAAATGAAGAATTTATTCACTTATAAACAACTGTGAAAGTACTGTGAAGAAATCTAATGATTAAATGTATCTAATTTATAATAACCTTAATATTGAATTGTAAACATAAATTGAAATCCTGTTGACAAATACGTTATAAAACTATTTAAGCAAGAATTGTTCGTATTGGAAAGCAATCTGTTAAAAGTTATTGTAAAGCAACAAATGCTATGAGATGCGCACTTAAGAACGTAATAAAGAGTTTTGGAATATGTATTGTTGAAATGAAGGGTAAAAAAAAAAAAATCTGATAAGTATAATTAAAAGAATTATTCCCCTTACATTTTATAATAACTCAGTTACAAGTTTTAAATAATACTCAAAAAAAAAAAAAAAAAAAAAAAAAAACTTATTTTATTCCTTTTCAGAAATGTTCAGAGAAAGTCAAGTACTATTTTATACCTATTTAATTATTAGGAATTAGCGAAATACCTATTTAAAGTATTTTGCTGATTCCTAATAATTCTCTAATTTAAAATGAACCGAATAGAGCATTAATTATAAATTGACTTACATTTTTCGATTTAAAAGATGCCTCAGAAGCCAAAAAATCATGTCATATTTAAGAAAGTATTTTAGGAAGAAGCTCTATAAATAGAAAAGAATAATGCATAATTTTAATATTAATAAATACAATAAACTTTGATCTTAATTTTTGTACCTTAACCGAATAAAATCGAATTACCTTAATTTTTTTTTCTAATGTAATTAACGAAAACTTGTGAAAATATTTCATTCAAAAAACCATTCTGAGAAAACTGTCCTGTGAAAAGTATAGCATTTAATTCCGTTCAGAATGAAATGTTGTTTAAAAATATGTTGTTTTCACATACTTAGGACTCTGAAGTGTTGTAGAAAAAGAAAATATATACATTTATAAGTATATTTACGACGTAATTACAAAATATTTACATCCGAACGCGTCAAATCCCATAGAACTCAATGGTAAATGACCCAATGTTTTGGTCACCACGTAGGGATCGCCGGTGCTTCAGAGCAGGGTACGGGAGAAACTTGTTTAGGGCGACTCCATCTTACTTCCTACCTTCCTCCATGGGATCAGCAGACGATCAGGCGCCCACAAATATCAATGGCTGAATTGCAGCTTTTTAGATGAATAAAGCCCATTTGACACTATTTACTGAAAACAATGGATTAACTAATTTTTATTTTCGAATAGCTCTGTGGGGTATATTTTAAATTTATAACAATTATTTAAATTTAAAACACCTTTCCTATCTTACCTAGCTTCAACCAGAATGATTTTATAGACCGTTTTGAATACAAATGAGAAGGAGAATAGTATATAAGTCAAGTGACTTCGATAGACGATTCCCGAATAGCGCGCGTTTGCCTTTGGGCTACGACTCTTTAAGTTGCTGTTACGCTCGTCCGTATTACGTGCCTTTTTGGTAGTTCGCTGACTTATTTAATATTACGGGCCAACTAATTTAGCCCTTAATATTAAATAAACCAGCAAACTACCAATTGTATAAGCTTCAGCTAAATCTCTTTACTTAGTTATTAGTTAGTTCTAATTTGTTACATTTTGAGTTTACGCCCAAATGAAGGCTTTGCTATACGCCCGAAGAAAGGGGACGACTGTTAAATCTTACATTGAGTGAATAAAGGGTAATTAACCCTTCTTGAGTTTTTCTTTGTGTTCTTGGACCTAAGCGATTATTCACTTAGCAGTTCACTGGGTTCCACGACACTTAATTTAATAGAAAAAAGTGAAAACCTCTATAACTCAAAATAAACTACGCCTTTCGTCAGCCAGCATATGCATGTCAAAATCGTTTTGGATGCGAACCTGGTTTTGCTATGGATGTCGTTTCTCTTTTCAACACAACCATTTTGTTTTTCAAATTAACACTAGTATAGGAATCTGTAGCTCATCTCCAAATCGCAAGACGCCTTAAAAGAAATTTGCATTTAATTTCTTATGACCAGAGAACTGTAAATCGATATCTTTTGCTGATGCTTTTAGCTACAAGTTCATATGGAATCCAGTATAAGGAAACTTCTTTGTTCATTCCAAACGATTTGTTCTTGTTGACTTTGTGTAGAAAACGCTTCTTCACTATTTTTCACCTTGTAGAGCCGTTAGGTTATTTCGAAGCAGGAGAGATGAAAAATTAGCAATGTCCTTCGCCGTGACGCATATTTCACAAGTGCACATCAGCGTAGCCACTGAGGGAGGGGTTTCGAAAATGGACCAATGAGCTGCTATATTGCGCTTGTGACGCTAAATCTTCGTGCATGTGAGCGTATGTTGTTTACATTTTAATTTGCATTTGTTTCGCAGTTATAAATATATGGCAGTAATAGTAGAAGTCTTTTAGTGCTTTCGTTTTCTGAGTTTAATTGATCTCTGACATTTCACTCTCGCGAAAATTTTAACACGCATTATCATTTGGATTGATGTTCACGGCATATTACGTGGAATTAAAAGAATTCAAGTGTATATTTTTTTTTAATTGAGATTGAGAATGACTGAAAGTGTTACAGTGAATCTAGTGTTTTCTTATTTCACTGCTTGCATTCTTTTGATTTTTAAAGTGTAAGATTCAGAATACATATGATCTGATTATATCCATTGCTAACATTAAAAATTATATGTAAATAAATATGAATATATTCGTTAATATAAGATAAATTCACTCTGTTTGATGAGGATTTCTTGTGTAGACAGCACATTTAAGAGTGAGCAGTTATTAAATGTGAAATTTGACACACTAAATGCATACGAATGCAAATTAGTAAAGTTCCCTTTGACTAAAATTCTGCATTGGTTATCATTTATAGAACATCTTTTTCATATAGACTGCAATGAAAAGAGCTGACTTCTATTTACATATATAATTGGTGTAAATATTTTTCTTATACGCATAGTTTTATGTAAAGATTGCATTTAGGCTCGGATGTTTATCACATATTTCTTTCTTCATCTTATTTACCACGTATTAAGTAATATTTCACATCGATATTTTTGCGAAGTATCCAACATGTGTTTGTATTTATTTCAACCAGGTAGTGAAATCTTCATAATTGCCTGTGTTTGATTTAACTTCGCAATGAAAGTTTCAGAAGCAAAGGTCATGTGACATGACAGAAATATTTCTGGATGCTCATTGGTCCATCCTAGAAGCCACTCCCTCGGTGGCTACACAGATGTGCACTTGTGAAATATGCCGCCAGGACTCGATCCACGGGCCTCTCGAATACGCGTCGAGGTACTGACCACTACACCACGAAGGCACGCTAAGAAGGCGGAAGAAATACCTTATAACCTGAATGAAATAATTCTACCAACATCTTTGATTCATCATCCTCGAAATCGTTTGATCATCTACTTTTAAGATGTTTACAAGATTAAAATTACACTTCGGAACTTCTTTTAAACCTTCTTCAATAGAGACATTTACCGATAGCTCTGATGTAAGTGCTGCAGATTTATTGAAAAAATTTTTCGACCTGCTTTTGCAACATTACAGGTGATGCGAGTGATTTTTTTAGCATATGAAACCATCGACTTGTAGT